CCCCCCCCCCCCCCCGCCCCTTCCCATTTGCCAGGTACTTTTTATTCATTCCCTATAAATCAGTGTTAGCATTAATGGTTTTAGTAATGGCAGGGAGCCGATCATGATTAAAACTGACTTGTTTTAATTCCTATTACTACGTAGGTGTAATGCATCAAGTAAAACACTTAGCAGAATCGGAGTCTTTGCTGACAAGTCCACCAAAGGCATGTACAAATGGGTCAGGATCCTTGGGGTCCACAACGTCAGTCAACAGTGGAACAGCCACGGCTGCCACTAACGCTGCAGCTGACTTGGGATCCCCCAGCTTGCAACACAGCAGAGATGATTCTTTAGATCTGAGCCCTCAAGGGTAAGTGGGAGTCGTGTGGTGACGTCTGTGCTCTTTGCCTTTAACTCTGCCCTGGTGGCTGAGACTCTCACAGGGAATAATTTGTTAGAAAGAGTGCACACTATATTTTTTCATCTGTATTTTGTTAGATGTTTAATGGGAATGAGAAGAAAAATGAACATTTGTTGCAAACCCTGTTATATTGAGCCGTGTTTGGGAACCACAAGAGATATGTGGTCCATTTCCATTGATATAGAAGGGAACTGAATATTAGAAGGCTAGTATTAGAGCCTTCTCTTAGAATAATATAAGGCTCAGGGAAATTAAATAACAGTGTCACATACTTATTTTACAGTTGTAGGATTGAGTTCTCATTTCTGATTCGATAATCTTGAATTACTGTGTTACATGCAGCATACATAAAGAAAATTATCTGCTTCTACCTTTTTATCTGTCTTTAGTTCCTTTTTTTCTATTGTGCTATTAAGAACATTACCAGACCCTCGTATTGGTTTTAATTTTTTTGTGTTGAAATGAATCACATTCTAAAAATGTTTTTGTTTCTTTGATGTTAGAAATTTATTATTGCTGTATGAGTGGTGCATGATGAACCAAATTCAGTTCTGAAATTCAGGATGTGTTCAGGGTGTAATGCTCCTTTTTACTCCTTTTTCAGTGAAAAGTAGATCTTGCTAACATATATAATAAGTGGGGTCTAAATATTTAATCTTGTAAAATGCAAGATGACATTGTCCAGTGAAACTAGCCCATTCAGGATTCCAGCTGCTTTTGGCGCCACCTGGTGGCAGTTGTCTACTTTAGTTTAAATATGAGTTTTGGCAAATCTGGGACTTGGGGGCACAGATTGGGACCTCTGGCACAATTGCTGTCACTTAGGAAGCCCCTGAGCTTGGGTGGCCCACATGTTATGGGCCCAATTTAAGCACATTGGATCTGGAGAATACTCAGAGCCCTCTCACTTCCCTGTTCTCAAGTTGGAATTGTCTTCCATTTTCCCTCACAGCCTTGCCTGCCTCCCTACTTCCTCCCCAGCTCCACTTTCTCTCCCTAGCTGCTGCAGTAAATCTTAAATTATGCAGGGTTTACTATATAGCACAGGCATAGCGCCTGAGATATCATAGGTACATGGTGAAATATGATACATTTCAGACAAATGCAGTATTTCTGAGCCATTTAAATTAAGAAATTAGACTTGATTATTATAGGTTCTAACAGTTGATAATTATGAAGAAAGAGGAAATACTATTTCTCTTAAAATTCTTTCAGAGTTTTAAGTGGTCCCATTCCCTTCTAATACAGTTTCAAGTGAAAGTTCATGTAAATTTGTAAAGGGGGAATTGTTCAATCATATTAAGTTTATTCTTTGAAAGTTCACTTGTCCTGTTTTGTTTTCGATGGACATGGCAGATGTTGGAAGAATTTTTCAATTTTTCCAATTTTATTTGGGTCACAGACTAACTGAACCAGAATATCTTTTCATCTTTTCTGTTGCATGTAACTTGTTATTCCAAGAGATATTTCAAACTTTCTAGTGTTGTTAAGAATAGTGAAAATAACACACAAATGCTATGTATATTCTGTTTAATATATTCTAATTCAAAACAGGTTTATTTGTACTATCACTTGCTAGATTTATTTAGGTAATTTTGTGTGGTTATTTTTTAAATTACTAAAGTATTTGTAAATACATTGATTTAGAATGTTATTGCCATTGCACACCATGACATTTTTTAGGTAATATTGGAAGGTATTTTTATATTATTACTTAGAGTTGTGTACTTGTCATTTAGGTTAGGGAAGAATTATTGTACTCAGATTTAACACACTCTTTTTGTTTATGATTGCATAGTTCTTTTTAATATTGGTTCTTCACATTGTGTACTTGTTTTATGTACTTTTCTATATGTGCTACATTTTAACACAGAATTAGGTATCCTATTTTGTTTTATTTTGAATAGTTTATATAAACAGCTAGCTATTTTTTGAATTAATTATTTTCTGTGTTGTGTACCTCTAGAACATAACAGACACAGAGTCAGCATTAAATAATCATAAATGGAAGATACCCTGTTGTGGCAATATTTATTAACTCCCTATTTCTGCCATTTTAGCTTGCTTTTCAATGAGTGATGATAAGAAATCATGGTAATTGCTAAACTTGTCTTATATTTTCCCATGTGATAGTCGATTAAGTGATGTTCTAAAGAGAAAACGACTGCCAAAACGGGGGCCAAGAAGGCCAAAGTATTCACCTCCAAGAGATGATGACAAAGTAGACAATCAAGGTAATTCCTTTGATGAAACTACGGGTAGGTAAAAGGGAAATGGTAGTAGTTAAAGATATAGTTTAAATATCCTATTAAAACTGCTGATAGCCCAGCCAGTGTGGTTCGGAGATTGAGTGTTGACCTGTGAACCAGGAGGTCACGGTTCGATTCCCAATCACTGCACCTGCCCAGGTTGTGGGCTTGATCCCCAGTAGGAGGTGTGCAGGAAGCAGCCGATCAATGATTCTCATCATTGATGTTTCTCTCTTCCTTTCCCTTTCTCTCTGAAATCAGTAAACATATATTTCAAAACAAAACAAAACTGCTGATAATTTTGAAGTCTTCTTAATACCCAGTGTTCTTAGTTCTTTTGGCTAATCTATTAAGAATGAGAATCTTGCTCTGGCTGGGTAGGTGAGTTGGTTAGAATGTAGTCCTGAAACACCAAGATTGTGGATTTGATAGCTGTCAAGGCACATTTAAGAATCAACCAATGAAGAAAAAAAAAGAATCAACCAATGAATATATAAATAAGTGGAACAATAAATTCAGTTGATCTCTCTCCATCTCTCCCTCTCCATTCCTCTCTCCCTCCCTCCCTCTAAAATAGAAAATATTGAAAAATAAAAGAATGAGAACCTTAAAATTCACTTGGTTTTTGTTAGTTATTGTAAAATGATTTAACTATCATTCTCTCTTCTTTTCATAGCTAAAAGCCCCACCACTACTCAGTCACCTAAATCTTCTTTCCTGGCAAGCTTGAATCCAAAAACGTGGGGAAGGTTAAGTGCACAGTCTAACAGCAACATTGAACCAGCACGAACTGCAGGAGTCAGTGGTCTTGCCAGGGCCGCTTCAAAGGACACCATATCCAATAATAGGTGAAGTGGGGAAGATCTACATTCTATTCTTTGATTAGAAAAACAGCACATTTATTGTATGGAGATGAAACTTGGACACAGATCTTTAATGAGTGCTCAGAAGTGGCATAGTTCAAGAATGTAGTGTTTTCTCAGTTTTTAAGTCCTGTGCCTGGCTTTGTCTTGAGTTCCAGTGTTACATTTTAAAGATCTTCTAGACAAAAAATCAACAGGGAAACAGCGATCCTAGACAACACACTAGATCAGATGGATTTTTAATACTTTGTATTTTTTTCTATTTTTAAAATTTTATCTTTATTGTATAAAGTGTTATAGATATTCCCCCCTTTTCCCCCATTGACCCCCTCTCCCACTCCCATCCCCTCCCCAGGCCTTCACCCTAACTATTGTCTGTGTCCATGGGTTATGCCTGTTCTATATAATAAAAGCTTAATATGCTAAGTGTCTGACTGTTTGACCAGTCGCTGTGACACACACTAACCACCAGGGGGCAGACGCTCCGATCAGGGTTCAGGGTTCCTGGGTTCAGGCCGATTGGTCCTTCCTCGGCCCCGCTCGTGCAGCGGTGGGGTCCCTCGGCCTGGCCTGCACCCTCTTGCACTCTGGGATCCCTCAGGGGGATGTCAGAGAGTTGGTTTCAGCCCGATCCCCACAGGCCAGGCCGTGGGACCCCAGCGGTGCACAAATTCACGTACCAGGCCTCTAGTATGCATGTAATTTGTTTGGTTGATATCTCCTCCACCCCGCCACGCCCTTTCCCTCTGAGGATCCTCAGTCTGTTGCATGCTTCCATGTTTCTGGACCTATTTTTTTATTTTCTTTGTTCATTAGATTTCACATATAAGTGAGGTCATGTGATACTTGTCTTTGATCTAGCTGCTGGGACTCATGTATTTTCAAAACCAAACAAATTATGTTCCCCAAGGAATCTGTTTCTCAGTTTTGATCCAGGTACTGGAAAATTGACTTTTTTGAGGAAGTATGCATACACGTATTTTTATGACACCCCACCTCTCCCCTTTACAATAGAACTTAAGGATCTTAGAGTAGAGGGTTTTTTAGGAACTTAGAAAACTACCAGCTAACCTGTTTATACCAGTTTATGGCTTTTAAGAATTACGTCTTTAAAGTCCTTGAGAATTGTTTTATCTTGTTGGCTCTGGATGTAGCATACCAACAAAGGATTACTTCCTCTGCAAGTAAGAAATTTAAAAATGTGAAATATCATTGGAAAACAATCCTTTTTGTTTGGTTGATTGGTTTGTTTGGTTGGTAGTAGTTGTTTTTCAGAATATCAGTTAGTAAAAATAATAGAGCAAATATATTTCTGAAGCTATTTGAATTTGTAATTTAGACAGCAAGGTGTCAGTTGTTGTAGTTAATCATGTAACTAACCAGGACTTGTTTCTGGTCTCTAGGGCTCTACTTCAGCTCTCCAGAGAACACAAGTAAAGAAAATGCAGATATGTCTGTACCTTAGAAAGTAGTCATGTAAAATCACTCTCAGCGGAATGCCTAGGAAACTGCTACTTTGTAGAGTCCCAAGAAGTTAGAACTTTGGTTTACTCTTCATGCATATGTGCGTTTCTCTAGGTACATCTTCAAAATGAAACTTAATTTGGTTAATGTGAAGTCTGAATTTATTAGTCTAGAACCTTGGGCCAAAAGAAGGTTTTATATGTAGCAGTTATTTGCCTTTGATCAAAAGTTGAATTGAAATTCTTTCTGTGTATACTGAGCTATATCTCCTTTTCCTTCTTGCAGAGAAAAAATTAAAGGTTGGATCAAGGATCAGGCACACAAATTTGTTGAGCGTTATTTCAGTTCTGAAAACATGGATGGTAGCAACCCTGCATTGAATGTCCTTCAGAGACTTTGTGCTGCAACTGAACAACTCAACCTCCAGGTATTGTATCCAGTGCATCCTGCTGGCCCCTTCTCAGTATCTTCCAGCACTGTCTGTCTTGCTGGGTTTTTTTTCTTGTTTATAACTCTAGCTTTCCACCAATTTAATCCTTATAGATAGACTTTTTAGCTAGATATGTGCTATATTAGCATTGACATTCTTTAACTTATCGCTTGCTTTTATGCTTCATTATTTCATCATTAAATGTACTATAGAAATCTCATCTTTGACCTTTTTTTGTGACATTCCATATTTATTGACAAATGAAGAGACTTTAGAAATGTTTCTCTAAGACCTCTTTAGTTTACAGACACTTGAGTTAATAGGACACTCCTTAACCCCCTCACCTGGGTTCTAATAGTAGTTAGAAAGGGTTCATGTTTATTAAACCTTTTATATTTCATCTCATTCTTCATCTTTTCACTTTTTTTATGTACTTTGAACAATTTGAGTAGTACATGTTTTTCAAGAAATTTACCATTTTATTCAGATTTTAAATGTATTAGTTTAAAGCCCTGCCCTAACCGGTTTGGCTCAGTGGATAAAGCGTCGGCCTGCAGACTGGAAGGTCCCAGGTTCGATTCCGGTCAAGGGCATGTACCGTATTTGCCGGCGTATAAGACGATTTTTTGGCCCTGAAAAATATGCCTCCAAGTGGGGGGTCGTCTTATACGCCAGGTACACTTCAGATAGACTGCCCATAGTGCTTGCCCCGTGCCATAGTGGCCTCCCGATGCCCGCCCACTTCATTCCACATACCGTTCAGGC